TCCATGGCTGTCCTGGAACTCACTTTGTAGATCAGGCTGGCCTTGAAGTCACAGAGATCCATCTGCCTCTGCCTCCCGAATGCTGGGGTTAAAGGCCTACACCACCATGGCCAACTGAAAGTATTCCATTTTAAAAGGTGGAATACAGGATTTGTTATTGGATCTCCTGACCTAGATGATCTTGCTTCAACTCACCAGTTTCCAAAGGATATTTTACTTGAAAAAGGTGGAATATTGTCCAATGTAAAAATTTAAATATGAACCACTGATTTGTTTCCTTTGTCTATGTATGTGTAGGTGTATATGTGTGTGGGCTCATTCTCCTCAGCACACATGTGGAAGTTACCATGTGGGTCCTGAGGATCAAAATCAGATCATCACACTTGGTGGCAAGCGCCTTTACCACTCTTCAAAGTGGCCCCACACCCATGAGCATCCTTTCCCCCGCTGTCTCCTCCCCAGGCAGCAATGTCTAACTTTAGGGCAGTGAAACTCGACTGTATTAGTCTGGAGTGGTGGGTAATATACCATTCCACAGTTCCTCAAACCCACAGAATGCACAATAACAAACCTGAGTTTGCAGGTAAACTCTGGATTTTGGTAATAAGGGTGTCAAGGTAGGTTCTTAAGTTGTTAATAAATGTGCCATTCTGAGAGGAGGTGTCAACCATAAAAGCGACAATGGGACTTCTGAGAAATCTCTGCTCCTTCAGCTCAATCTTCCTCTTTAACTTCAACTTTAAGTTGAGCACTCGAGGTGAGGTTGAGGCAGGAGGATCAAAAGTTCAAAAGCATCCTCAAATATACGTAGTGAGTTTGAGACCATCATAGGCTATATGAGACCCTATATAGAAAAGGAAGGAAGGAAGGAAGGAAGGAAGGAAGGAAGGAAGGAAGGAAGGAAGGAAGGAAGGAAGGAAGGAAATTACAAAGATATGTCAACGTAGTATATACAGCAGTATAGAATAGGGAACTGGCCCAATAAAGTGTACTGAGGAGCCCTGAAATACACGTATATATACAGGATCCTAATATAACAGAGTGGTAAGATGAAAGAAAACGTTTTTAATCAACAGTGTTTGGAAAGCTGATTCACAAAAAATTAAGCTAAATCCACTATCTCATAGGACGTATAAAGGGTCTAGGTAATAAATTATAAAGTCTAAAAGCAAATGCAGTACAAGCCAAACAAGAAAAACTAATCAAAAGGTGTATGTTGGAAACACAGTGGAGATAAAAAACGGAAGTTAATCAAACAGAAAACAAGACAAGCCAGCTGCTTTAGCAAGATTGATAAAATCAATAAAACCTAACAAAGGGCCGGCCACTCAAGTAATGAGAAAACAGCTCCAGAGGGGATATATTACCAGAGATCCACAAGACAATAAAGCAACAATCAGAGGAAGAGTCTGTACCAAGTTTCTGAAGAAATGACTTCACCAAGGAACTGACATGCCTCCCTGTTTTGTGTTTTGGTTCCTGAGACAAACTTCAAACTCTCATGCCCACGGCAGTGTGAAACAGGCTGGAAAGAGCTGAAGACTCCAGAGAGGCACGCACGCTGGCATCGGGTCCAGGTGAACACGTGGAGGATGGTGGCAGGAACAAGGCAGGAGGCAGAGCAGGGACGGCAGGACAAGAGTCATCTCTCAGAAGTGAGCCAGGGCGGCAGCAAGTGGCGCCTGTCTCTGGCTCCGATCTTCAGAGTCGCCGCCATCAGGACTCCCAGGGAGTGCTGTCCCTTTGTGAATGTGAGTGTTCAGGGCAGGTGTATACCTATGCCACCATTCGGGCTTGAGTACAGAGATGGAAGGCAGTTTGGCGGGTGATAAGGACAGCACAGCCACGGGATGCTGTGTGACATGTTGTATAGAGCGTCACTCGGCTGTTTCAGAGGTAGAAATGTATACGGTGGCAGAGAGAGCTAGTTGTCGACAGGTAATGTCCTCCCTGCCACCTCACTACTGAACCCAGACAGAGTAACTTCTAGCTTCCCTTACAGGGAGGTGGCCACGTGTCCGGGTTCTACAATGGCAAGTGAAGAAATGAATGATGTCTTCCAGTGAGAAGAAATGATGTCTGCCACTTTGGGTCACACCATTGAAAGGAATATTCACGCACTGCTTGTCTTTCCTCTCATTGTGTGAGTACAGATCAGGACCCACGAAGGCACCTTGAACCAGCCATGGGAGAGAGATGTTCTGCCTAGTCCCAGCCCTGGGCTACCAATGCCTGAACGAGTAGGTAGAAATAAATAAGCCAGTCAGTTCTACACTACAGGGTCTGGGAGCCTGTGCTGTGTCCGGCCTTCCCTCTGCCCAGCCATATTCTCTTCCTTTGCATCCAGACACGGGTGCCCTGAGACCTGAAATACCAACCCCCACTTTAGTACTTGCTTCCGGAGAATGAGCCTGGCTGGACTGTGTGAGAAGAGTGACCTTGCTTCTCTGCCCAAAGACAGACTACCTGTCACACAGCTGACAGTGAGGGCCGCTTCATCTAAGGCTCTGCTTGAAGGACAAGCCCAACCAAATTTTGAAATGTCTCAGCTCGCAGCCTCCCGAGCTGAAATGCTGATTTGGGGCAGCTCTGAGGAAGCTTCCTGGGCAGCCACAGACCCTCCTCAGGGGCTGTTTCCTCAGCTTTGGAGCAAGCCAAGCTTAGTACCACACTGCTGACCCCAGTACTTTGTGAAAAACATTGTTGTTTATTTTTCAAAAGATTTTAGGCTTTGGGCTTATTTAGCTTTTATTTATCTGTGTTTCTACTTCAGCTTTCACCATCCCAAGCAAGCTGGCAGAAAAACGATTGCTCACCTCACTGTGTTTGACCCACAATTGAAGTGTAAGATTGGAGAACAGAGCACCATTTCAGTGCTGTACAGATGCCTTATCCAGGGGTGTGATGGGGTTAAAGTTAGCATGGCCACGAAACAGGAGAGAAACTGTTTCTCTCACAAAGAAACAAATGCAGGATTACTGCCTGGCTTTGAGAGCCTTCCTTGATTAAAAATACACATCAAAAACTCAAAAGAAAAGGAAGATGTGGGAAGAATTATTTAAAAACCATGTGCTAAATCCTTCAAATCCATAGCATGTCCACAGAGACCTGATTGTCATTAACTACAGCAAAAGACTGAGGTCAAGAATCAGCAGGTAAAGGCACTTGCCAGCAAGACCCACACTCAAGGGCAAGACCCAGACCCACAAGGTGAACAGAGAAAACCCGCTCCTGAAGATTGTCCTGAATGCCTTTGTATGTATTTGTGCATGTGTGTGAACACACAAAAAATAAATAAATAAATGTAATTTAAAAACTTAAAAAAAAAATCTTTTTAACTCCCCAAAGATGAAGCCAAGGCAATAGATTTTAAAATGAGAGACTGTGCCTATGCATAGTGGTCCCTCAAAAGATATGTTCAAGTCCTAATCACCTGTCTAATTTGGCAAAAGGGTCTCTTCAGATATAACCAAAGTAAGGATCGTTCACAACCACCTCATCTCACCCAAAATGCAGCGCCTTGTCCTGTTGGGCAAAGACAAGGGAGCCCCAGGAAGTAGAGAGGTGAGGCCGATACAGAGATTGGAGTGCCTGTAAGCCAAGCATTGTTGACATTTACCAATCAGCCGCAGACGCAGGGGCAGGGGCACCAGGCAGATTGCTCAGGGCACTGAGAGGAGTCAGTGCTGCCAACAGCTCGATTGGACATGTGACCTTCATAAGCAGGAGAATCGGGAGCTACTGGGCTCAGACGCCAAGCGTATGGTAATTGGTAGTGACCAGTTCACCGGCATACGAATAATGCAGGCAGTGGGAAGGCACTTACTTCCGTGATGCCACGGGCTCCCTTGTGGCTGAGTTGAGCTTTGATGTCCAGCAGAGCCAGGGCTTCTCTGAAGAGCCTGTGTGTTGACATAGCAGGGGTCATCAAAGAGATCCCCTCGACAGTTCTTCACGGATGCAGTGTCACTGTGCGCCCCGCCCTCATGGGGGATCCCTGCAGAGGAGAGCAGTGAGCAGTGAGCATTCTGATTTTGCTATGTAAATCATGCCGGAATTGAAGAGCAACAGGAAGCTGTGCATCACACACATGCCCACCCCAAACAAGGACTGAACTCTGACCCCAACAAGGTCTGGCCTCCCTGCGCCTCTCCGCCATGTTTGGCAGCTTTACCACGGACAGAAGCAGCCGCGGGGTAACAGGAAACCCTGAAAGAAATGGCCAGTGAACACAGGCACCTGCCGAGCGCCAACGCAGGGTGATAGTCTGGGAGGGGGGGAAATTTATCATACTGAACTGAACATGGGTCGCTAACCCCCTTTTAAGGACTTGTGACTTAATACGAAGTCTTATTTCCTTGGCACTAAGTTACCTTAAAAGTAATCAATGAATGGATCGAGTAAAGTTCTTATATTTTTGCTTGTGAGCCTAGCCTTTTTTAAGGACTGAGCCGTCTCTCCAGCCTTTGAGTACAGAAAGGACAGAAAGTCTAGCTCTTTTCTCCTCCCATAGGTTTTTCTTGCCAAGCTCAGCCTCCCACCAGTTGCTGATGGTTAGCTGTATTTGGTAGAATGGCCTCTACCCTCCTGCCACTTCCTCCCCTCTCAGCCTGTTCTCTCCACTTCATCCCAGGCTACACACCGTGGCCAAATGCTCTCTTAAGACTGAAAATCCAATCACAGTTCTCAGAGACTTAAAAACCTTCTGTTGCTTCCCACACTTGCTGGGCTCCTCTGTCTACCTGGCTTCACTTGCACGGCCCTGCCAGAGGCACACTGGCCTTCAGCAGCACGATGGCCACTTAAACCTCAAAGGTCAATTCAAACCTTTCTTCAGTAGAGCTGTCCCTTACCCTCCACACTAGACGACTCTGCTTCCCTGGAAGTTTGGACTTAAGCTTGGAAGGCCATTCCATGGGAGCAATTAATTCTCTCGTGTCTGTTACTGGTTAAGGTCTGTACTGCATCGAGGCTGCATGTTCTGTAAAAGCAAGGGTAATGTCTGCCTTGCTCACAGCTGCAAGCCTTCCCAGGTCTGGCACATGACTGTTATTGGATGCATGGGTATTAGCACAATCTTTCCTGATCTGATGGCATGAAGGACTCCACATCATCCAGATGGTTGTGTCCTAAGGATGCCAGGGTGAATTTTTTGGCGTCTCTGTTTAAATGAGCACATTTATAAGTTTCAGCTGTACATGCTCCAGGATCGGCATGAGGTTGTACCCACAGCAGTGATGTTTCCCTGCACCCAAAGCCGTAGCTCTTGACTGCCTAACTGTAAAACAGCATTTCTTCTTCTATTGCTCCAGTCACGCAACCCCTTTGATGTGGTCCAAACAAGACAAGCTCACACCAGACTTCACACGATGGTGAAGAGAGAGGCCCAGCCGTACGACTACACTCTTAATGCTGCTCCTCGTTCCCTGTTTCCGTCTGTCAGCTGTTCCTGTCATCTCGCCAGGGTTACACTTTGTATGTAGGAAATCCCAAGGAGGATCTGGTCTCTACAGAGGGAGGGGCCACCAGGGCATCGTATTTGTGCATTCTGTGGCATATGACTGCTTGCTTGGTCAAGTGGAGGTAGGGTTGGGGTGCCTACTTTAAACTTATTTCACAAATAAAAAGTGACTGCAAGCAGTCAAGGCCTGGAGACAGTGTTTCTACCGGTAGGGCAAGCTCTCTCTAAGCATCATTATGAGCTTAGAGACAACAATGACCTGGCCAGGTTAGGCTTCTGCCCCAAGTTCTAATTCTTCCCATACTCAAAATTATCAGGAGCTGAAATGGAGATGTACATCTACTTTTATATTTCAATGATACAAGAGGCCTCAATACATATCACTGAGGAGATTGTTGAGTAAATACAGACTACGTGAGACACAGAACAAGTCAACTTCAGCACGGGAGAGCGTGCTGAGAGAACTGCAGAGAGGTCAAGGTCCATCCCATTGCTAAATCTAGCTGGGAATTCCCAGGAGGAGGAAAAGGAGGAGTTATGGTTCCAAGAGAGCATGATTTCAGAGGTACTTGCACTTATCGTCAGTTCGTTTCATATTTCAGCCATATAACTAAGAATTAGTTTAGAGTTTTACATTTGATCTCAGCCAGCCAAGAAGTAATTAACTTAGGGTTACAGTCTCACTATGTAACCCTGGCTGGCCCAAAATTGCTATGTATACCAGGCTGGCCTTGAACTCATAGAGTTCTGCCTACCTCTGACTCTGGAGTGCTGGGATTTAAGGCAAATACCACTATGGAATTTTAATTTCTATCAAAAGAAACTATGTTTTTAGAAGGTTAAAATGCTGCCTTAGCTCACAAATCTTTTGGTACAACGTGTAGAATGGTGTTAATCAGAGATATACTATAAACAAAAGACCTTCACGTGTCTCCAATTGTATAAAAATGGTCAGTAGGCTATACTAGAAAAAATAGATATGAAAGGTGATAAACGGTCTGCTGAGTCCTTAAAAGTTATCTAATTCCTTCCCCACCTAACCCTGCAAGACTTAACTTCCTAAATAAATAAATAGTTCTGACAGTTAATAAGAATGAAGCCACTAGCTGGCAGTGCAACTGCTTTTATAAACATATTTCTAATATGACAGTTGAGCCTTGTATTTGTGTAACAGGAAGTCTGTCTTGTAGCCGTGAGCACACACAGTGATGAGCACAGAGCTCCTGGGCAAGGTTATGGTGGGGGATTATTGATGCATTCACATCTCAGTCATCTCCCCGGTTCCCTCTGCCAAACCAGAACACAGGTTACATCTTAATCACTGTGGAATCGGCATCTGTTTCCATACTAATTCATCATCTAGTCTTTGGAGTGGAACTTCCTTGAGCTTTGCACAAAAGACATCCCTTTCCAGTGAGAGTTTTCATGATGTCAAAGCAGTGCAAAACCCCAGAGGTGCAGCCCCCAGATTGGGGAATCACATGAGATCAAGGGAGAAGCTCGAAGCTGTTGAATGATACACGATGACATTCTGGCTACTCTGGGAAGCACGCAGCCCAAAGAGTGCATGCTTAATCTCATGTCTGCCATTTAAGAGCAGGGGCCCACACATTCATATGACTTAAAAGGAGCTGGAGTGGCAGGTGGAATGGCATTGTACTTACCTATTGACCCGCTCTGTCCCATACAGTTCTCGTACACACCGCTGCATTTAGAGTTCCCGGGCTGCACAAACAACAGATTGCAGGATGTTTATCAAGAGGACACATTCATAAAGCTCACAAAGAAAAGGAGAGATCTCAAGAAAGTATAGCAGGCCACTTCCCTTTCTGGCACAGAAGTCTGACAAGCTGGGAACAGAGAATCTTGTACTTGATGGTTTTCCTTTTGGAGTTAGCTGCAGGGGTGAATCTGATGGGGGGGGCGGTGTCAAAAGAGCTGTCCACATCCTGCTGTGGGAC